TTATATTACAGAAGCGAACAAAAACAAATCAGAGCAATTAGAAATTTAGAACAATTACAAATTTGTGATTTACAGTATATAGCTGATTATACTATAAATTTCTTTAAATATTTAAGAAGAACAAGTAGAATTAGTGATATTTATTAGATACTTATATGACAAAAATAAAATGACTAATAGGATAAAAGATTTGGAATAAATGGCAAAAGCATCCAAAGAAAAATGATATTGCAATAGGACCTAGAATTACATGTATATGATATACTTAGACAAGAGTGTAGTCAAATAAAAGTTAAGAAACAAATTAGGAAGCAATTTTACATGAGTTGTAAAAATATAGATTTACCACAACAGTATGGTTGTCATAAGAAAAATATGTACAAAAAATATACAAAAAGAAATATAAGTCATACAAACTATACAAACAGTATAAGAACTTTAGCATAAGACCTTCAAGAACATATAGGAAGAGAAAATGCATTCCAAAACAATTTAGGAAAAGAAGTGGCAGACCTTGAATTAGAAAATATAAAACGCCAAAAAATAAGAGTAGTTGTAAATATTATTCATGTGGAGAAGTTGGACACATTAGACCTAAATGTCCAAAATTAGGAAAACATTTGAGAGAAAAAGTACATTTGATGGAGTTGTTTAAGTTAGAAGAAGATAAAGATATACAGTCAATATATAGTTTAGATGACTTAAGTGATAATGCAAGTATTTATAGTATTGAAAGTATAAATATGATAGATTCAGACTCAGAAGATTCAAGTAGTTTAAATAGTGATTTAGAAGAATATATGTGTGCATTCATAGAAAAACAACATGAAGAATAGTACAAATACATTAATTTAGGTTGATCAGAAAAATTTCATAAGTGTAGTAAATTAGTTGCAAATAAATACAATAATACATATTCAATATTGTGTGAAAAGTATTATAGTAATAAGTTATTTGAAATTAATTCAATAGAATCATAAGAAAGTACTGAAATATTAGGATATACTTTTCATAGTATAGAAAAACCAAAAAAATAGTTCTTTGATTACCATAAATTATGAAATAGAATTAGCAAAAGAACACAAAATACAAACAACAGCTATGATAGATACATGGAGTACAAAGAGTGTCTTAAGAGAATAGTTAGTACCAGAAAAATATAAACAAAAATTAGCAAAATCAGTGAGAATAGCACAGTTTGATGAGAAACCAGTTTATTTAACACATTGTATTAATAATGAGTCTATTAAAGTAGAAAAACAACAATTTAATTTACCATTAACATTTGTTTCACCAGTAGGATCATACCCATTCATTTTAGGTTTAAATTTTTTGAAAAGTTTACAAGGTTTTTTATTTATGAATCCTAACATAACATTTTTCAAAAGAGGCATTACAATAACTGATCAAAGTAATATTGTAGAAGCATACAAAAGCATAAATATAGAATAATCTAGTAGTCAAGATAATTATTATTTAGAAAACTCAAAAGAAAATGATGGGTATAATAATATAGAAAAGTTTGATGAAGAAATATTTGAACATGAATATCCGATTTTAAAAGAATGAACCTATATAGAAATATTACAGTTACATAAACCTAAGAGTTTAGAAGAATTATTACCATTAGCAGAACAAACTAGAATTATAGGAGAAACCTACAGTTACATTGGAGTAAAAATAAAATACTAGCAAAATCAGATATAATTAATCCAGATTTAACCATAAAGACAGTTGACATGCCTTGTAGTTTATTAGATAAATAAGAGTTTGAGCAGCAAATAAAAGAGTTGTTAAATTTAAAAGTAATTAGACCATCTAAGTCTAGACATAGATCGGCAACATTTATTGTGAGAAAACATTCAGAACTAAAGAGAGGTAAGGCTGGAATAGTTTATAATTACAAGAGATTAAATAATAATACATATGAAGATAGTTATAAGTTATCAAATAAGGATGAACTTATAAATAAAATTCAAGAAAGTAAATATTTTAATAAATTTGATTGTAAATCAGGATTTTAGCAAATACAATTAGTAGAAGAATCAATTGAGTAAACTGCTTTTACATGTCCAGAATGACATTTTGAGTGGCTTGTTATGCCATTTGGACTTTAAAATGCTCCATCAATCTTTCAAAGATGGATCAAATTTTCAAGAAATATGGTAATTTTTGTAGTGTTAATGTAGACGATATTTTAGTACATAGTAAGAATAGAAATGAACATAGAAAGCATTTAGAGATAGTTTTACAAGAATTTATCAATAATGGAATTGTGATTAGCAAAAATAAAATAGCATTAGAAAAGTAAGATATAGAATTTTTAGGAATGTATATCAAGTCAAGTACAATACAATTATAAGATCATATAGCTAAAAATATCTTAGAATTTCCAGATAAGTTAGAAGATAAAAAATAATTACAAGCATTTTTAGGATTGTTGAATTATGCAATAAATTTTATCCCTGATTTAGGAAAAAAAAATAGCAGTATTGCATAGTAAAACTAGCAAAACAGGACAAAAATATTTTAATAATGAAAATATTAAATTAGTTCAAAATATAAAGAAAGAAATTACTTAACTTAAGCCATTAACATTACCATTAGATGATAGTTACAAACAAGTTGAAACATATGCTTCATCATTAGGATATGCATGTATACTATACCAGAAAAAGCACAAAGAGTCACCAAAGTATGACGAACAAGTTTGTAGATATTCATCAGGAACATTTAGTGATGTACAGTCAAGATTACCATCAACAGATTTAGAAATTTTAGGGATAATTAATTCACTTGAGGCATTCACTTTATTTTTACATAATGAAGTATTTACTATTAGAACATATTGTCAAAATATAGTTTCTCATTATAACAAAATACATGTTAATAAACAGGTAGCCTGAAGATGGATTAATTTTGTTGATTCAATTACAGGAAATGATTTTAAACCATTGTTGAACATATAAAAGGTAATAACAATACATTAGCTGATATCTTATCAAGATTAATTTGTCGAACATGAATGAAATATCGTGGACCATCATCTTCAAATAGCACAAGACCACAAAGCAGAAGAGTATCTTTAAATAGCATAATGATGCACCATGGACCTCCACCATTCAATGGATTCCAAAATAGCATAATCAAATCAGCATCACCACTAGTATCCATTTTCAACTTTAATGATAATATTTTTGAAGGAATCAAAAATCCAACTATGAGATATAGACCAAGAGTACCAGGACTTTCTGATAAGCAACATGTTCTCTTAGATAATTTTTGGAATATCCAAATCAAACAGCCAAGCATGAAGTTAGGTCATGAAAAATTAATTAGAGTCTTAGAACAAGAGTTTGATAATTTTAATTTTAATTTCCATCAAATTCAGCATCATATTCATTTTCTTGAGCACCACTTTCAAGTCATTTCTAGATACCATGAGTTATTACTTAGTAAGTTTATCAAAATAAACTAAGAATTCTAATCTTTTAGAATGCAGCAAAATGCAAGTAAATTCTGAAAAGAGAATTGAAAATAGGTTTAGAAATTAATCAACATAAGAATAAAGAAAAAGAGGTTATTGAACCCATAGTTTAAGAGGCTAATGAGTCCATAGAAGATTAAGATTGAGCTCTTAGAAGAAGACATTGAAATGGAACAGCATCATAATAATGAGTAGTATCAGCATCTGAGTGACAAAGAAAAACAAGAAAAATATGAAAAGTTTCTTAGGAATTTACCTTTAGACTTAATCATAGATGATACCCTATTAGAAGAAATTTCAAAAGCAAAATTAAGAATAATGCCACCAGATATGCAAAATGAGATCCTGAGTAAAGCATCACAATCCATGAAAGAGTTACAATTACAATGTGCTTTGTATCAGTCCATCTTTGATTCAAAACTAGGGATGAATATTATTACAAAGATGTATCCACCATGTTTTTGTGATAATACAGAGAGTTTTATTTGTAAACTAGAGGTTAATATAGTTGTAGCCAAGATTAACATGAGAGATTTTAGACCATGACATTTTAGCTATGAGCATCAGAAAAGGCATAATGTAGTGGAGGTTACCCCAGCCTTACTATTAGAGTTTTGCTATCTTGATAAAATATTCATTAACCATATTTCCCAACTAGAATTTTTTTCCTGAAAAACTTATAAAAGTAGCAGGAGATTATCTACAAAAGTTGAAAGAAATTTGCATAAGTTTTATTAGTAGTCCTCCAGATTGATATGTACATATGCATAAGGAGAAAACTAGGCATATAGCCATGATTAATGAAGAGTCTTTTAGACTATCCCCTATCTCTCCACACAAGTGGACTCCTTCATACAAACATATTTTAAAATTTCGAGGGATCCAAATGTTAGTATTAGATGAGTTTGAAGATTTTAGGTATGATATGGTATTAGTAGGAGAAAAAGAAGAAATGTATATTTATAGTATGTCAAAAGCCCATCATTAGGCATACTGGAAGCCTCAAAAATTCAAAGGAGAAACATAAGATATGTATTATAAGGTGAAAGAAGATAGAGAAAGATGCATAGCTAGTAGAAGGCAATGAATAGTACTGGAACAATTTGACAGAAGAAGTGTTGCATAACATTAACAACATGATGAAAGCATGAAGAGCTGACAACAAATTAACATAAGTTGAATAGCATTATGTAAAATAATGTATTTCCAGACAGAAATGTCAACATCATTAGGGATCCCGCTGCAACAATAAAATAATAGCATAAGAGTAAATAAAGAAAAAAGTTTGATTAATTATGAATTTTTCATACGCAAAATGTTCTTTTGATTAAAAATAATATCATACCCTTTTTGTTAAAACTCTCTAAAATTTTCTTTTTCAAACCCATAGCATCTCAAGTTTAAACGACGTCTTTCCTTTTAATGTAAAATATCGCTCGTAAAAAAAAAAGCGAATTTTTATTAACTAGGCCCTGCTATGACGTGTCGAAGACTAAAAGATACATCTCCACTTGTATTTCACACCTGAGATGAAGGGGAGACCACCCCAAGTGTAAGAAAACGAAATGCAGGGGAATCCAAACCCCAGAAACAAAATTCTCCTTCGCTTCGACCAGTGAAAAAAGAAGCAGAGTAATTCAGCGCTCTTGTTACAGGCGGACCGGCGAAACCGTTGGCTCGCGGGTTTGTGGATCTTCTCTTTCCGGTCCGAACCCGTAAGTACTCTCGACCAATTGCTCAGGATTTTGTTGTCAATTGCTCGTATTAATTAATTTGAATTTATTGTCGCAGCTTTCTTAGGGTTTGGATTTTGAGTCAAAATCTTCAAGTTTTTGGGAGGAATTTTAGGAGTTGTATGCTTGCAATTTTCTGTTTGGTTCAGTAGAAATTGAGATAAAAAGTTGAAAATTTTGAAGTTTAAGAGGACAAAATGGTTGTTTTGAGCTGTTTTGAGTGTAGGATTGAGTATTGAACTCAGACTTAATTATGTATTTGGTTTGAGTATTTGATTAAATTGAAAATTTTGTTCATATCTTCCATTGTTTTGCTTTCCTGGGTTTTGTGTGATGCGAATGGGGCTTTCGCATAATATGAAGACAAAGTTTAAATTTGTCAGGTAGAAATTGATTGTTTTAAGTCCCCTTTGGGTATAGAGAATGATATAGTTGGTAAAAATTATGGTAAAGTTTCAAACTTTGTTTGACAGTTTCTTTTCGTAAGCAATTTTGTGATAACATGACTTTTGACGGTTAAAGTGAGTACGTATTTGTTTGCTCTAGTGATGGTTTGATCATTAGTTGTATTTGGATTGTTGGCTGGATGGTGTTTTATGTTCGCCGGATATCAATTTTACACAATTATTTTTTATAAAATTAAAGATTAATTTACTCTTTTTGTGAAAGTTGGTCTATTTATTCTAAATTTCTTGGTAAATGGTATATGGGATTTTTGTAAGGGTTCACTTGTCTTTCAGATGGAAGTAGCCTCTCTTGACAGTGAGCAAGTACCGGATGGTGAGTGCAATGAGATCATAACTGATGGAGATGGTGTTTTGACTGAATCAGATGTTCAAAATGGTGTCATTGAAGGAAGAAAGGAATTTGTTTCACCTGCAGTGGGAATGGAGTTTGAGTCTTATGATGATGCTTATAATTATTACAACTGCTATGCTAAGGAAGTGGGATTTCGTGTTAGAGTGAAGAATTCATGGTTTAAGAGGAACAGCAGAGAGAAGTATGGTGCCGTGCTTTGTTGCAGCAGCCAGGGTTTCAAAAGAATTAAAGATGTGAACCGTTTGAGGAAGGAAACGAGAACTGGATGTCCTGCAATGTTAAGGATGAGATTAGTGGACTCCAAAAGGTGGAGGATACTTGAAGTTACACTTGAGCATAACCATTTGCTGGGTGCTAAAATGTACAAATCGATTAACAAGATGGGAAGTGGAACTAAAAGGAAGTCACAGTCAAGTTCAGATGCAGAAAAACGAACAATTAAGTTGTACCGAGCACTTGTAATAGATTCAGGGGGCAATGGGACCTCAAATTCGAGTATAGCAGATATCAGGACTTTTTCTGATCATCCGGATCAGTTGAACCTTAAAAAAGGTGATACACAAGCAATCTATAATTACCTTTGCCGAATGCAGTTGACCAATCCTAACTTCTTTTACTTGATGGATTTTAATGATGACGGGCTGCTAAGGAATGTGTTCTGGATTGACGCTAGGTGCAGGGCAGCATGTGGTTATTTTGGTGATGTGATATACTTTGACAACACATATTTGTCAAACAAGTATGACATCCCACTTGTGGCGTTTGTAGGGATCAATCACCATGGCCAGGCAGTATTGCTTGGTTGTGCTCTACTTGCTGGGGAGACAACGGAATCTTATACTTGGTTGTTCAAAGCTTGGCTTACATGTGTATCAGGACATTCTCCACAAACCATTATTACTGACAGGTGCAAGGCTTTGCAGAGTGCAATTGCAGAAGTATTTCCAAGATCTCATCATCGTTTTGGTTTATCACACATCATGAAGAAAATTCCAGAAAAACTGGGAGGGTTGCGCAACTATGATGCCATCAGGAAGGCATTGACTAAAGCAGTTTATGAAACTCTGAAGGTGATCGAATTCGAAGCAGCCTGGAGGTTCATGATTCAGCGTTTTGGAGTCGGTGATCATGAGTGGCTTCGATCTTTATATGAAGAACGGTTTTGGTGGGCTCCTGTTTATTTGAAAGAGACATTTTTTGCTGGAATGGTGGCTGCACGTCCGGGTGAAGCCTTAAGTCCATTTTTTGACAGATATGTACACAAACAAACTCCACTGAAAGAATTTCTTGATAAGTATGAACTGGCTCTCCAAAAGAAGCATAAGGACGAAGCTCTTGCAGATATCGAGTCAAGAAGCGCGAGTCCCACATTGAAAACAAGATGTTCCTTTGAGTTACAGCTTTCAAAAGTTTACACTAGAGAAATATTCGAGAAGTTCCAATTTGAAGTGGAGGAGATGTATTCTTGTCTTAGCACTACACAGTTACATGTTGATGGGCCAATCATAATATTCTTGGTCAAGGAGCGTGTTGTCGTCGAGGGAAATAGGCGAGAGATAAGAGATTATGAAGTCCTGTACAACAGAACAGCAGGTGAGGTTCGTTGCATTTGCAGCTGCTTTAACTTTTACGGGTATTTATGTCGGCATGCATTGTGTGTGCTTAATTATAACGGGGTAGAGGAGATCCCTTCGAAGTACATTTTGTCGCGATGGAAGAAGGATTACAAGCGTTTATATATTCCAGATCAAGGGTCCAGTAATGTTGACGCCACCGACCGCGTGCAATGGTTCAATCAGTTGTATAGAAGTGCCTTGCACATTGTAGAGGAAGGTGTGATTTCTCTTGACCATTACAAAGTAGCATTGCAAGCATTCGAAGAGTCGTTGGATCGGGTTCATGTCGTAGAAGACAAGCATGAATAAATTACCTGTAATGTTAAAGGTTCGAATTTTATGGAAGTAGAAGGGGTAAATGTAGGGTTATTTTCCTCCTCTGTTCCTCAACCTGTTTATGCAGTTGTAGATTCACCCTTGTTTCGGATTGTACAGTGATTGTCAAAGCGATTTTGCACATATTCTAAGCTTGCATTTTCAGGTCCTACTGAAAACACTTTACAAAGGTGAAAAGGGGAAAAGAGAGAGAACCCCTTATATGAAATCGCTTTTAATTCTTGTATGCCTATTTGGAAGCGCTTTTAGATAAAAATACAAACGTCTTTAGATTACCAAGAGCATTTTTGACAACGTTTAACATGAAAAATTAGAGCTTATTTGGGAGTGCTTGTAAAATTATTGAAAGTGCTTTTAGAGAAAATGTTTATGGGTTTCAAAATCACTTAAATGCTTTCGGTAAGAAGCACTAATTATGTGTTTTCTGTTGAAAACACTTCAAAGTGTTTTTTTTTTCTTCAGAATTCGCTTGCATTTGTACAAAATATTGGTTTTAAAAACATTTTCACAAAAAATCTTTTTAGCAATTTTAAAAGTAATTCCAAACGAGCACTTAATCAGATTAAAAGAAGCTACCAAAATGCATTTCCATTTTATTAAAAATTAATTTGCTAATAGAGTCGCCACAAAGACTTGACAAAACTAACTGCAGACTAAAGATTAAAGATAGTTAGTGTCACAAATGATGGATAGTTGACAAAACTAGCAAAGTCTTGGCATACTGCCTAATATTTCAAAGCCCTCTTGCTTCTCATAATCTCCCCTTGTTTTCACCCTTCTTGCTCTCACATATAGATGTAGGATAATTGATGGTATGTTTACGAATGAGCTCTCCACACTATTTATAGCAAATGATGTGAAGTACAAACAAAATGGCTCTGTTGGTAATTTGTTATCGATTAATTATCCACAACTTTGTTAGTAGTCCGTTATAAGTGAATCATCCATCACTTTGGTAATGGTTTATTGTAAGTAAATTATTGATGGTTTTGTCATCCACCGCCTAATTTTTCTTCTCTTTTCAATGTGTGGGTATCGGATTATTACAACAAATTACTACTTTCATCCACTGATATTTTGGGAACATTGGTGCAATGAAAGTGCTTTTGGGTGCGTTATTAGAAAATTAACAAATCATTTTTGAGGGTTCAGAGAGAAGCGAAAAGAAATATGGATGTCTAAGCCCGAAGGCAGCCCAACGAAAGAGGTCCAAACCTTGCACAAAATGCAAAACCAACGAAATCCCCACAAAGGAAAAAACTCGGCTCGCTGAGACAGAGAGATCGTCGTCTTCTCTCTAGACCAGGGAGTTTCCACCCTTACATTTTCCGTTCTTTTTCCATTTTTGCAGGTTCAGAAACAATCGCAGTTTAGAAGATGAAGATTTGAAGAAGCTGAACAAGTTCTCGTGGGAGGTGGGCACTGAATCCAGGTCCGTGTTGTGTAGGCTCAGCTGGGTTTGTAGAGTTTTTTTATTTTTTTTATTTCACCTTTTAATTAAGTTAAATTTATGTTTGCCGAATAAACTAAAGATTTGATCTTTGTTTGGTTTCTGAGAAAATGAAGGAAAATCTAGAAATGGGTTGCTGCCCTTTTCGTTTTGTAAACTTTCAAAGTGAAAAGAAAATATGGGTTGCTGAAAAATACCCAGCTGAAGCTGAATTGGTGATTCTATATATTCAAATGGTCAATGGAGGAAGCTGATTGTATTAGGAAATCTTTTGAGAGATTATTTTGCAAGAGTTGGAAAGTGGAGGGCAATGAATTTTGTAGGCTAGGATTAATAGAAATTATTTATGCTTTTTTGTTAGGGTTCGGTATCAGTTGGTGTCTTGGTTTCGTATTGGTTGGAAGATGGATGAAGTTTCACTCAACACTGAGCCTGCGGGCCAGGATGATGCTGATGAATTTGAGATTGAAGGAGACTGCGCAATGACCGATTTCATCAGTCAAACCGGCATTATTCAAGGAGAGAACCCTCTCCCGCCGGTTGTTGGAATGGAATTTGATTCGTATGAGGATGTATATTACTTCTATAATTGCTATGCCAAGCAACAGGGATTCGGGGTTAGAGTCAGCAATACATGGTACAGAAAAAGCAAGGAAAGATACAGAGGAAAGCTTAGCTGCAGTAGTGCAGGTTTCAAAAAGAAGAGTGAAGCTAATCGCCCGAGGCCAGAAACTAGGACCGGTTGTCCAGCAATGATAAAGTTTAGGTTAATGGACTCCAACAGGTGGAGAGTTATTGAAATTGAGCTTGAGCATAACCACTTGATCAGTCCAGCCAGTGTAAAATTTTATAAATCCCACAAGGCCATAGGCGTTGGAACCAAAAGAGCGTTGCAGATGGATACTTCTGAAGACGTACAAAAGATCAGGCTGTTTCGAACAGTGATCGTTGATTCTGAGGGTAATGGAAGCATGGATGGTGATGAAGGAGAATCTGGGAATAGAGTTGACTACTCCAGTCAGTTAAAGCTAAAAGAAGGAGATGCCCAAGCCGTTCAGAATCACTTTTCTCGGTTGCAATTAGTGGATCCAAACTTCTTTTACGTGGTGGATCTGAATGAGAAGGGATGCTTGAGAAATTTGTTTTGGGCTGACGCGAGGACTAGGGTTGCTTACGGTTATTTTAATGATGTGGTTTCCATTGACACGAAATGCGTGGAAAACAAATTTGAAGTCCCGCTGGTATCATTTATTGGAGTAAATCATCATGGGCAATCGGTGCTGTTAGGTTGCGGTTTAATTGCAAGTGAGACGGTTGAATCCTATACATGGTTGTTTAGAGCTTGGCTTACATGCATGATGGGACGCCCGCCGCAAGCCATCATTACTAGACAGTGCGGAACATTGCAAACTGCCATTTCTGATGTTTTCCCTAGAGCTTCTCATTGCCTTTGCTTATCACATATAATGCAAAAGGTTCCAGAAATTTTCGGAGGATTGTTCGAGTATGAAGCAGTTAAAGAATCTTTGAGTAGAGCTGTTTACTACTCTCTGAGGGTGGAAGAATTTGAAGCAGCTTGGGAGGATATGGTCCAGCACCACGGAATTAGAGATCATAACTGGCTTCAAGCGTTATATGAAGATCGAAAGCGGTGGGTTCCGGTATATTTGAGGGATATATTTCTGGCGGGGATGTTCCCGGTCCAACCAAGTGAGGTTGTCTCTTCATTCTTTGAGGAATTTCTGGATAGAGATACTCCTTTGAAGGAGTTTCTGGATAAGTATGATCGAGCTCTGCAAACGCATCATCACCTGGAAGCCTCGGCAGATTTGGATTCAAGAAACTCGAGCTATACGTTGGAATCGAGATGCTATTTTGAGCTGCAACTCTCAAAATTGTACACTAATGACATTCTAAGGAAGTTTGAAAAGGAGGTGGAAGGAATGTACTCTTGTTTTAGCACTAGTCAACTAAATGTTGACGGGCCAGTCATAACATACGTAGTGAAGGAACAAACTGAAAGTGGTGGAAATCGGAGGGAGACGAGGGACTATGAAGTTTTGTATAATCAATCTGAGATGGAGGTCCTTTGTATCTGTGGCATGTTCAACTTGCGAGGATACTTATGCAGACACGCACTGTCGGTCCTAAACCAAAACGGAGTGGAGGAAATTCCAGCTCAGTGCGTTCTTTCGCGATGGAGAAAGGACATCAAACGGAGTTACATTTTCGATCATAGCTGCAGCGGCATTGATATTAATAATCCAGTTCACAGGTATGACCATCTGTATAAATGCATAGTGCAAGTCGTGGAAGAAGGGAGGAAATCAGAAGACCGTTACAAGCTCGCACTAGGGGCGTTGGATGAGATATTGAAAAAGCTTTGTCTTACAGAGGATCCTGCCCTGTGAGACTCTGAGTGATCAAATTATGTAGAAATTGAATGGTGTAATGCATAAAATTAGGGCAGTCTGTGTGTAGCTGGAATTTTGTGTACAATATATCTATAAAAGCAATCTCTCTGCCATTTTTCTGTTGATTTTTCTTCATGAAATTCATCGTCTACTTACCCGGTGTTTGGGTGCGGAAAGAAAAACTCCGAAAAATCGGAATTTAAGCGTGGAAGTCTTTTTCCCTTGTTTGGCAACAACCCTGGAAATCAGCAAATGACATTTATCCCATTCCGAAGCACAGAAATATGGACACGAGCAATAATCTTGCAATACTCTTGGCAAGAAACTGAGCCACCACCACTCTTATCCTACGCTCACAGACGCAATGTACCTGCAATTCTGCAAAATTGGATCTTTATTTTGCCAAACATGTTGAAAGCACAAGACGTTAGATAAATCATCGAACTTAAAAGAAATTTCTTTCCATTTCATCATTTCACGATTCATAAGCACGTAGAGGGATGTGCATGCATACAGAGAAACTGATTCATACAAGGATAGCAAGTAGAGCCACTGAAACGAAAAATCACAAATCGCTTTCTCAAAGATAAGATCAAACTGTTTATTTAAACCCGAGCAGTAAAACTCAACCATGAATGGCAAACCTGCATAATTCCTTTAACCCGATCCTTGGTCAAGTACAGGAAGTCTGCAGTGTAGACTGATGGACTTATCGATTTGATGAGAACCAGGAATGAAAAATTGGAAGATCACTGTCAAGCAAGCACCTTGTGCGGCAATCCCATAGAAAGCGCAGTCCGGTTTAGCCAAGTGGCACTGAAGGCTCTTACCAAAATGCTTGACACTCACTTGCACAGATTGAGCATCACCCCTTAAAATAGCCCTTGCCGACCGAGTCTGAGCGGTCATATTTCGATCTTCAGATGGAGCATCAGCTTGCTCACCTATGACCAACAGCTTCTGAAACTCTGCACCAAGTGTGATGAGTGTTGTTGAAATCTGAATGTGTAAATCCCCATACTTGCTTATGGTAACATTGAGCAAATCACCAACATGCCTCATCCGATCCACAAAATTTTGCAACTGATTCAGATCGGGAACCTGAACCAGAGTCTGAGGCAAGTCTTGAGCTGCATCAAGAGCAGTTTGAAGTTCCAGAACCTGGGCTCTGGACAAAGGTTTTGAGATTGGTACATCCTGAATTACCGCAGATTTATAACCCTTGGTCTCGAAAGTCAGGAAAGGCAATGGTTGGGTAGAATTTGGAGGTAGTTTTTTAACCAATCTAATCTGGAGCCGGTTGGCTGTCGGACCATTTCCAAACTCAGTACATATGCTGACACTGCTACGAAGAGCACGGTGGAGAAGAGAGATGTCTACTGTAAAGGCAATGCGGTCCTCATTCTGGCTGGAGATGCGATAGTCATCAAAAAGAGCTTCTTTGCGAAACTGGGCAATGGATTGAATTCCATCACCATTAAGAAGGTTGTGGAGGAAGATAGCATGGTCTCTGTTGAGGTAGAGATGGCATATCTTTCCCATCTTGTCTAGGGCTGGTAGGAACCTCTTTTCCAAAAGATTTACACCATTCTCTGTAAGAAATGCCTTGAACTTCATCTCTTGGTGCGTGTCTGTTCTCGTCTCACTTCTCAGGAAAGATGGCTGAAGGCAAGCCAAGAAGGGGTTAGTGTATGCATTCAACACAACAAAATGTGTTTAAATTGCAATCTTAAGATAGTTCTCAAAAATATCTATTCAGACATCGTAACAATACTTCCTGTAGACCTGTCTTATCGATGAAACTGTAAATATGTTTCACAATTTTGGATATTGCCTGGATTTATTATTTATAAACAGATATGTTATCTCAGAAACTACACAGAGGAGCCCAGCAAGTAGCAACAAACTGCACAATTTCGGAAGTCTTACTGTGATATCATAGTTTGGTCAATTTAACCTCACAGATTATGAACCTTCTCCCAACTAATTGAGATTCTTTTAACACGGTACACCATTCATGGTCAGTATCAGTATCAATATACATTAAGGGCCTAGTTACAAAAATTGTCCTAGCACAAAGAAACCCATTTGCTTTCAACTAATCAGGCAGTTACAGTACAATAAATTTCTACAGAGTCCGATAAGCGCTCTTCTGCATTCTATCTTCCCCTTTTACTCCTCTTTCAATCTATCTATCGTGCATCGCACTCCAACAATATTATCTCCTTTTTCTGAATTTTACCATTATTTCTCTTCTCTTCCATGTTTAAGGGTGTCTCCATAAACTTAGCAGTAAGCACAAAATGCCCTAAAAATACATATAGCTATAATCTTATACGTAAAACAATAATAAAATCAAATAATCGTCTCAAAACCAACCGGAAGCAAAATTTCATTTTCTTAGCATAATTAATTCAGTCATGCGTCTAAGTGACTTTTAATTTGAAATTCGATTATATATCATTACAAACAAAACAGCACACCCACAGAATCAGGACAACCAAAATTATATTGAATTACTGACTGAAATGGATTTCTCTGAGGTAAGAAGCTAATACACAGATAAAGCTTCATTTATTTAGCTTCTGTTTGGGTGCTGAGAAAATTGAGCAGTTTTCGATTCTACTAGTTAGTTTCAAGGGCTAGAAATTTGAAATTTAAAGAGAAATCTATTGTTACATTTCCAAACATTTTCTAGGGAAACAAACACATACGGATTTAGAGTTTTCGAATCTAACCTTTTGGGACTTGGGATCCGTCAAAAGATGGGAGGTTCCGCAGTCACCGCTGCCGCTGGACTCCGAGAGACTGGAGGGACTGGACTGGCCTGGCGCCAAAGCTCCTGGTAATTTATATAGGGCTTCTAGCGACAAGTCGTTTTGGATATTGACGAGTAAATGTCGTTGTTAATTTTAAATATGATTACAAATTAGATGGAAACGACACAGAGGAACAATCTTCTCAAAGCAGCTCTAAGAAAGGTCGGAATAGTTTAAAGGTACTTAGCAAGTGCTTGATGAGATTACAGAAGTTAACTTTAAGAGGAGAAAGTTAAAAACTTTTAAAAATTTTGATACGTGTAACACACTGTGTCAAACTCTAATAACAATGTAACAAAATCACAATATAACATGAGGTCATCCATCACTTTTGTATTAGAAAACTGCACATAATGATGTGTGTATTCATAGTTTTTCTATGATGAGTGTATTCGTGTTTTTTTCCATTCTATATCAGCTTTTCAAATATTAATAATAATACGAGTATTACTATTTACAGAATATTTACTTGCTGCGTTGAATATCATATCTTCAATACACGTGAGACTTATAGGTTTCGCGCATGCAAGATCTCTCTCTGAGATACATTTATCATTGAAATTGCAGCAAATGCTAGAGGATTTAGCAAATTAAGAAAGCAAGTTAATCATCAAACTACACTATCTTCTTCTTTTGCTTGGAAGAAACCAAACATTTGGACCTATTCTAGTCCTAACTGATTATCCCGCCCCCTTGGCCGCGTCGGCTAAACTGGCCAAAGGTCCTTTAATCAAACCGTCACCAATAATCTTTACACGAACACGAACCGTGTCTAAAATGGTGGAACCGAGTTCCATCCCTAACAATCACTTCTCTATCATAAACTCTGGAGACCAACTTTGCCATGCTGTGACAATCCACACAGATTCTAAGGTTCTTCATGATTCTAATTGTCGCCCCATCTCCCAAACTAAGCAGCCCAAATGCCATTGCTAACTTCTCACTATGCCTGCAAACTGCACTCTCTTTATCCTCCTCCCGCACATCAAGGAAAACCTCCGATGTATCCGGGGAATACCCGACAACTTTCAAGTCTTCAATCGTCTTATCCAACTTGGAATAGATTTTTTCGGATTGAGGGTGTGACCGGTCCCCGGCAACAAACTCATGAACATTACCATTCACCTCTATCGAGCTGCAACCAGGCGTCTTCTTGATTCCCCTGTCCATCATCAGTTGCCTTACGTCGCGCAAATTGTCCCATTTACTGCAAGCTGCATATATATTGCACAAGAGAACATAAACGGAACTGTTGTCGGGCTCCAGCTCGAGCGTCTGTTTAGCTGCAATTTCAGCCAGTTCTGCATCTCTGTGCATTCTACAAGCGCCAAGCAGAGCTCCCCATACAACTGCATTTGGTTTCATTGGCATGTTCTGTATAACCTCAAAAGCTTCGTTTAGATTCCCTGATCGACCAAGAAGATCCACCATGCACCCGTAATGTGAAACTTCAGGCTGGATTCCATGTTGGGTGATCATACTATCGAAAAAGTTCCTTCCTTCAGCCACCATTCCAGAGTGAGTACACGCAGAAAGAACACCGATGAAAGTTATCTTGTCGGGAGTTATCGAAGATTCTAGCATTCGAGAGAACACGTCAAGAGCTTCCTTACCATGTCCGTTAACAGCAAGGCCAACAATCACAGCCGTCCATGTAAATTTGTCCCTTTGAAGCATTGCACTAAAGACCCTCAAGGCTTTCTCAACATTTCCACACTTGAAATACATGTCTATTAAAGCATTTCGAACGAATACATCATTCTTGATCTTGTTCTTGTCAATGTAAGTTTTTATCCATTCTCCGAGTTCAAGTGCTCCTAGATGTGCACAGGCTGTTAGAATGCTTACCATAGTGTACTCATCTGGCTTTACATTCGAAGTTTGCATCTGGCGGAAAAGTTCCAGTGCCTCTTTGAACCGGTTCACCCAGAGGTACCCATCCATTATTGCAGTCCATGAAATGTAGTCTCTTTCAGGCATCTCATCGAAGTAGCTCCGAGCTAGATCAACTTGTCCAGAACTGGCAAACCCCTTAACAATGGTAGTCCAAGAAATTACATCCTTTGTTTTCATCTTTTCGAAAATCTCAAGTGCAACGTGCATTTCCCCACAAGCTACATACATGTCAACCAAAGCATTTCCCAACACTAAATCAGGTTTGATCAGGCAATCCTTGACGTATTTATGAACCTGCTTCCCGGCATCTAAATTCTTCAATTTGGAGCACGCTGATATCACCGAGACAAGTGTAACTGAAGTGGGCAACGCTCCTGTTTTCTCCATGTCACTAAAAAGCTTCAAGGATTCATCAAACTTCTTGATTCGATTGTACCCAGAAATCATTACATTCCAAGTTGCAACATCCTTCATGTGAATCATATCAAAAACCCCACGTGCCATATCAATTAGGCCACAAACAGAATACATATGCACCAAAGCATTTTGAACAAAAACATTAGTATCAAGTCCATACTTCAACACATGAGGGTGCAACTCTTTGCCACATTCCAGCGCAATTTCACGCGTGAATCCCTTCAACAAGAACGGAAACGTATAACAGTCGGGCTTGATACTCATCCTCTGCATTGCTAAATACAAAGAAACCCCGTCTTGAGGGCATCGTATCCGACTATAGCCTCTGATCATGGTGTTCCAAAGAAACACACCTGGTTCAGAAATTGCGTCGAACACTTGACGGGCATAGTTCACATCACCAAATTCATCAGTACAACAAAAGACGATGATTCTGTTACGCGCGATCGGGTGCGATGTGAGGCCTGTTTTCACTGCTTGGGCATGTATTTGCTTGATGTAGTACATGGAATTGCAGTTTTCAAATAGAGCAATTGGTGCTGGGTTTCTGAAAGACTGAAGCTGGGTATATGTTGGCAAGTGGGTTGGAGTTGCAGATGCCATAGCGATCCTTTTCATGAAGTTCATAGAGTCATAGACTGACAAGCTTAGAGATGAGAAGATCCAGTGAGTTCTGGAAGCAAGAAAGAACATCATACAAAGAGAAAAAGCATTCCTCTCTACCGCCGGCAGCGTGTTCGCACCGGCACCGACAGGTTATGGAAAATTGGATGGCTTCAACAAATTTATATGCTTGTACTCGAATTATCAGTCAGACCCAGAAATTCTACAATACAACGGAGGATATATCCCTCGACTAAGTGATGAGAGAGATACTAACAGCGGAATATACCGATGATTACAACAATTCATCATAACATAAAAAGTAGACACAATCAACTTTCTAAGACAGGAAAAATGGAGAAAAAATTATACACTCGGGCAATTTATCTTGCAGCTAAATTACTAACCAATAATGTAAACAGTTGCTATACTACAAGCATAAAAGTTGGGACTGTAAGCATTCTATGACTGTCGGAAAAACAAAATTTAACTAGCACCGCTGTTTACCATCTAAAAACCACCGAAAAGGGCCCATCAATGATCTACCTAAAGGAAGAAAACAAATGAAACCTATGGCACTAGAATTCCATTTTGACAGCAGAATTAGACTCTTGAAGTGCTGGTGGTTGCGGTAACGGTCCATACTGAATCCAATCCTTGGCGCAGATAAGGGCCTCAAGAGTTGCTGTACCCAATGAAGTCCGGTAACTGTCCATTCTTTTTATTTCGGTGTCAAACACAGAGTCTGGGGCAACAGTAGACACGGGTATTGACAAGATATCAGAAGCCATCCTGGAGAGAGTTGGGTACTTGTGTCTGTTAAGTCTCCACCAACCCAGAACATCAAAGTCTTCCACCCCATCGACCAAAAGAAATTCTTCCTCTTCCAGATACTGATCTAGTTCTGACTTCATTTGCTGGCCGCCTGTGATATCAGGCATAAAGAAATCAAAATCTTGCAGCCCATCTGCAGAAGAGAGTAGAATCTCCTGAGATGGTATTTCCGGTAGCTCTGTTTTCATGATGCCGTCGTTCCCTTCTTCTATTGGTATTTCTGGTAGAGTAAGCATTTGCATCATGTATTCAAGGAAGAGATCATGAATACCACCGTCAACAATCCTAATCCATGTTTCGGCATTCTCACCATATATTTCAGAGAAGGTTGACTCTACATGTTTCATTTTGAACCTCGGATCCATAATAACAGCAATAGCTAAAACAAGGCAGCAGTTTTCCCAATACTTGTCAAACTTTTCATACAGAGGTCTGATCAAGTAGCTGACAAAGGGATCATCACTCATGGCTGCATGCATCAATGCCTTCTGAATTTCTGATACTTTTGGAAAGAATGCATTTGCAGAAGGGTATGTTGGGGCAGTTACAATGTTGGCTGCATCGAAAAAATACATTAAGTATGTACATAGAGTTTCTACCTGCTTCCATTCTTCCAACGATATGTTTATGTTATAATCAGGATCATATGTATCCAAGCAAGCAAATACTTCCCTCAATTCACAAGCCGCAACCAGCATATGATAAGTTGTGTCCCACTTAGTTAAATTGTCAACTGAAATGTTCTTTGAGCTAGGAACTTGAAGTTGTTGCTTCAGCTGAACAAACTTTTCTTCACGGGATTCTGAAGTTTTCACATACTTAACGCTTTCACGAACTTTCGTGATTGTCCCGCTCAATGCCCTCAGTGCATCTTGTGCAAGACGACTCAGAACACGAGCATAGCAATTTCGTATCAGTAACTGACTGCTGAGCATGTGTGGGTTCTTGACTGAAAGAAGCCCTTTCAGATTTCCAATTATGGTTTCATTCGATAGGGATTGGTCAAGTGTGATGGTAAACAGCCGACCTTCCAGATGCCAATCGGACAAGCAGGTCAAAATAGCTTGACTAAAAGTGTCACCTGAATCAGTAGACGGTACCATTACAACATTAAGGATTTGACGATATGAATTCCAGTCACCATCAATGAAGTGTCCTCTCAAGAAAACATAGCCCAGGTTCTGATTTGAAGTCCACAAGTCCACTGTAAGGCTGACTCGTCCAGGAATTCCACTGATAAGATTCAGAAGATTCTGCTTTTCTCTATGGTAAATAGCCACACAATCATCTTGAACAGCCTTCAAGCTTACCATATTGAACTGAGGTTGCAGTGTTCGAACAAAACTAATGAATCCTTGTTGTTCCACAATGTGAAGTGGATACTCATGCATAATTATCATCATAGCAATCTCATGGTTGCAGCGTTCCTGATCAAAAGAAATTTTCGCATGGCCAGAATTTGCTCTGGGGCGTCGTTTTGGTGCATCAGTAGCACCAGTCTTGGAGCTTGGCGTAAAGGGAGTCATCTGATTTTTTTGACGACTTACTGGGCAGATACCCAGGGCAATATGTCGTTTTAGATGGCTTGTGCCTGCCAGCTTTGAACCAGTGATGTAAGCAAAATATTTCTTGCACTGCTTACAGCAAGCCCTAGTATTTCCAACCCCAATAGTTTCAATTGTGAAGTGCTCCCAGACAATAGACTTCTTTCTTCTGCGCTTGTTTGGCTGGGTTTCTGAACTAGGTATGCCATTAGTATCAGTTGGGGTCAGAGGAGTATTCATCTTCCAGTAAGCAGGTCCAGTCCTAAAACAGATCGACATGACCAATAAGTGAATTACAAGATTTCACAAAAAAAAATATGAAAAAAAAAAATACACAGTTGATCTAGCAGTAAAGGAAAAACAGACAAATTCAGCATCGGAAAACTTAAATTAAGAAAAGAAAAATAAATTTCACAACAGACACATGTAAGAGGGTTAGGGACAAACGGCTAAGGCCATATTTCACCTCATATGATCTGGTAAGCAACTTGGTTATTCCTTCTCACTCACAATCCCAGTCTCATAATCCTAAACATTACACATTATTAAAATCTTAACCATTTTCATCTAAAAGCCCAAATTTCCTACTTTTAGACCATGCTAAGTTGGTCAGTAGAACTATGCATGAAAATGAATTCACAAGAGCACTTCCCAACAATACAATAGGATTATCCTTTCATCCCAGGGCAATGAATTTTCATGAGCATAACTCAACAAAGAAAGAAGCTTTTTTTTTTTCTTTTTGTTACTATATTAAGCTACATCGACAATCAACCCTGAAGTACAGCAACAATCAACCCTGAAGTACAGCAGAACAAATCCAACATAAATTGCATGTTTCATCTGCATGCTTACAATAAAACCAAAAAGTAAATAAGTGCCAACTAAATACAGACCAAGGATTTTACCTACATGAACCAAACTACATACAGATGATTTAATTGGAAGTCAGAAAATAGCATATTCTACTAGTATCAGATAAATCCTATTAAGACAACTGAAAAATGCAAAACGCATCACAAAAAGCAGAATAACAAACGACATAGAAACGGTTCTTGAAACAATAAACGTCACCGAAAACATGAACACAACAGTTTAAAGTACATCGTCATAAATATTTTATCAAGTTACAACATGGTTCATTCTTATGATGCAGCTTCTGCCAACCAAACCACACAACAAAGTGGAATGAAAAGCAAATACAATCGAGTATATGCATACACGATGTGTTAAATTGAATGGATGAATTACACGATTTGTTACACAGAACACGGTTGAATTTACGAATCTCTGGTATATGCATACAAACTAGCAAAGTCTATTAGAATCAAACAATTTAGAAAACATAGAATAAAACCTAGTTCAAGACAGAGCTAGTTGAATGCAAAGCGCAGTGTTTATAACTCTTGAGGCTTTGGATTCAACCGTGAAATGTGTTTCATTATTGGCCTTTAAAAAATATGCCCACTACAGACAGACGCATCAGTATTACAATTGTCATATTTTTTTTACCAGTCACAAAACTTCTACTGCATCCTATAAAAAGTTAAAAACCCAGCCCTGCTGCACGTGAATTGTACATAATGCAGCAAGTACAATCTGCTTTATGCTGAAAGCAATTGTACCTTGAAATGTTCAAATAATACTATCATTAAAAACAGATTAAAAAAACGCTAATCAAAGAAATTAACAGATAATTGGGGATAATTAGGTCAGCAGCAACCAAAACTAAAAGCTTAAACCCTAAAATCACACCCGTAAACACATACAATAAAAACACAATTACCCGTAAACGCATAGATTACACACAGATATACACACATACGCACATACATAAATACATACACACACATACAGATACAGCCAAAGAAATTGAACAATATGACAAAACCCTAAAAAAATTTAAATTCAAAATTTCAAAGAAAGCTAAAGAAATTAAACAAACCCAGAAATATCAACAGTCCAGAGGCATCTAATAAATCCAGAAAATCAACAAATTCAAGATCCAAAAGTTTCCAAAAAACCGAAGAAAAAAATAGCCTTACCCTAATTCGCAGCCCCGAAGACGAAGAACCGGCCTCTGCGACACGAAATTCGGAAATTGTTTACTTTCGGGCAAAGAAAAAAAATAAAAAATTTGAAAATTCGAAGGTTGAAGACGAAGTTGATGGGCTTGAGGTTGAAGGTACAGAGCTTTTTGGGGATAAACCCTAATGGACCTAAACCTCGAGAATTAGGGTGCGGCCTGTGAGGATTTTAGGCTTTTTTGGGGGGTGTTTTTGTGAAAGCGAAGCGAGAAGGAATTATTTATTTAAGCTGCGGCCTTGGGGGGTCCAATTTATACAGGGTGCTACCTCCCCTTGGCTTCTTGCCCACTCTTTTCTATACTTTAATATTTTACCAATAAAATAAATACTTTAATATTTTTACTTTTTTTTTTTTTGAAAGCAATTAATATTTTTACTTTTTAGCATGTAAACTTCCCTGTACTTTCTCCATCACTGATCCTAAATGTTGAATTAAGCATTCAAGAGCAACTCGTCCCATTACAAGAATAATTGCCCGTAACTCGGCATGCTACTGAACTTCGCTGAGTGACACTCCTAACCACTCAAAAATTACCATGTGGTAATTTTTAAATATAATTTTTCATTTTTTTATATTTAAATTACTTGTAATTATTTTTCCTATTAATTAATATACACCATGAGATCGATCGAATGAGTCTTGTTTTCTTCCCGGACTCTTTGCGGTATGGAGTCTTCTCCCCAAACCATCTTTCCCTTCTTCATATCCAACTATTATAAAATGAAAAATAAAAATCCGGCAAATTTCCTCCCTTTTTTTTTTTTTTGAAAAAAAGTTGTATGTTCTTTTTTTTTTTTAATTATGAGCAATATTTCGTTGAAATTTGTTATATATTAGAAAAGTTGTAATTGTTTGTTTCTTGAATTTTGTATCTGGGTTCTTTGTGATATTTCATTGCAATTCCAATCCATTATTTCATCAAAAGAAAACTAACATCCATGACAATTCTAATCCATTATCTCGTCAAAATATATTCCTCTAAAAATTTCTAATGACTCATTCGTATAGAGTAGTCAATATGTTCTCACCTTGTACACATGGAACTCTTTATATATTATTATCAAGTCTGAAATTTAAAGCCAGTGTATTAAAAGGCTGAGGCATCCGAGGGATAGACCCGCCTAGGCGTGAAGTGAAGCCTCATGGGATTAAATTTTTTAAATATATATGTTTTATATATTATACATATAATTGTATAAAAAAAATAATACTTTGTAAAATAAACATCCATTCTCAATTTATCATTCAAATCCATAGTCATTCAAAAGATAAAATCATCTAAATTCATGTCACACCCCAAATTTGAAAATAAGGATGATAATCAAATTAGGGCATGAATAGTATCTTAGTAAAACAAAATTGAAATATTACAACAAAATTATGATGGAACCAGAGCCATCTAAAAGTTCATTTAGATCTGTTTATTTAATACATCTTTAGTACTCTTACCACACACTCTTAAGATACTAAGACACTTTATTTTAATTACAACTAGGAACCAACACACATATGATATGGCTATTCATTTAGAGACAGGTCATCCTCATGTTCCTTCATACTGGTACCTGCAATAGCTAATAGGGTGTGTGAATTTCATGCCCAGTAGGAATCATATACCGTTCAAGTTCGTTTATCACAGTTAATCAAAGTGTCATGCATCAAACAATATGGTAAAATACAAATGATATGACAAAGAAGTACCCATGAACTCACTCCCTTCTAATCCCGCTAACTTATATTTATGGCATCCAAACCCGTACGTCTCATATCATGCTTATACCACCTGGTTCCAAACACCATAGAATATAAGTTAACTCCCATTCCTCCCTTAACCCTAAATTTTATTATTAGTTTCAGTTTCATTAATATGGGCCCTTCCCCCGATGCCTAACTATATGTTCAAGCCATTCCCCCGACGCTTGAACATATATATAATTTTTCAACACTTTGTTTAACCAAAACTTTACACAACCCAACACTTGACTCTGTATCATGTAATGCAATATGAGCATTTCAATTTCATAGATACAATTGTAAACCTCAACATATTCAATCCAGCAATTTTACATAACTCAACCATTCATCAAAACATAACAACATTTAACATAGTCGATATATAAAATTCATCGAAAAAGAAACTATCAACCCATAACACAACCATGACAATCAAAGGATTCAATTTCATCCAAGCATTTCATTACTATTGTATTAGATATAGTTACTAATATCACAAAGATTAAACATGATATAGACCTATCATCGGGAAATAGAGCTCATACCTCGTGTCCAGCTAACTAGAATACCTCTCTAAGCCTCCGAAGTGTCCGGAGTCACTCCCAGGCCTAAAATCACATAAATAATAATAAAAGTTAGCATAAAACTAGAATGAAGATTCAATTTCAGCCTATCAAAAGTTTACCCAAATATATCCTTGTCACAACCTCGTGATGAACCATGCTTAAGTCCTCATATTGTGACCCTATTTTCATCCCTCAAAACTCCATGGAATGATGCAATTACTTGGATTTTAAAGCTTAACAAACCTAGTTTCTAATCTAATAAAAGTTTCTCAAAACGGATTTAAGAGAAGAAAATAATCAAGCTCCAAAGTTGAGTTCACAAACAGCTTTTTTGCAGAAAATCTGCAGAGATTTTCAGATTTTTTTTCACATTTTCAAATCATATTTTTCCATAGAAGATCTCAACCAAAATCGGTGAAATAAATTGGGCTTTGTTCCTAATCATGTCTAATTTCAAATATATAAGAAGACTTTTTAAAAAGGTAATGGATTGAGAGAAAACAAGAGCCACAGTGAGGCTCACCCATTGCAGTTTTCTAGAAATCAAAGTTGCAGTGGTAAGAAAATAGAAAATTAACTAATTTGAGCTAACCTTTTGTACCAATTGAAGAACACACCAGGCACTCTCTCATCTCCCTTTTTTCCGTTTTCCTACTTTTCCCTTTTCCAAAACTTCTCGCTCTCCTTTAGTTCTTCTGTGAGAGTTAGAAATACTCTCTCTAACCCCATCATTGCATTCTCTATTTTAGAATGCTTACTCACCCCTCTAAACTACCCACATCACCCCCAAAATTTATGAACAAGATCAGATTCTCTTGGCTCTCCACCATGTGATGGTTGGGAAGAAGAGTTTAGGATGTCTACACGTTAGCTCATCCTTTGTCTGTTTTTTTTTTCTTTTTCTTATTTAATATTTAAAAGCTAAAATAATTTTACTACTATCATTTATATATATATATATACACACACACATACTTTCCAAGTGTTACAATTCATCATTCAAAGGTAATATCATCCAAATTCATCATTCAAAAAGTAATACAAACAAAGAAATCAATTATTCATCCAAATCATCTTTATCTAAATCAATTATTCATCCAAATCCTCTTCATCTAAATCAAAGGCAACATCATCCTCTTCATTGCCAAATCTAGATGAATTTGTACAGTATGTTATCAATTCATCAAAAGAATCTTCTGAATCATACTCCAAATTTCTTCGACTTGAGGATCCTTCATTACCTCGTTTTCTCTTGTACGTAATAGGACTTCGAGGTTGAGTAGGCTGGTGTGGAGTAGTAGGCTCACGATGAGGAGGATAACTCTCTAGGCTCTCGAATGTATGGGCCACTTTCATAAACCGGGGGAAGCACATTTCTTATAGCCTCAACATTGTACAATGACTCATCCTCGAGCCATGTAGGATCTTCTATCTCCATTATCCATTCATCATTGAAGGCAATTTCTTCCACAACAATGTGATTATGCTTCTTCCTCCTTTTGACTTCTCTCTTGTAAAGCTAAATTGTACTTCACATAGGCTAAAACATTAAGCTTATTCCTTCTTTTTGTATGAATCTACAAATAAATCAATTCTATTATTTAAGTCTAATCATCTTAACCAAAAATGACACTTGATACTAATATTATATTTACTTACATTTTGAAATGTGCTCAAATTCCTCTCACATCCTGACACCCTAGAAGTAAGGCTAAGAACTTGGAAAGCAAACTTCATTAACTCGGGTGTTTTAGTCCCAAAGCACTCCCACAAAGCCGCTACAAAAACAATAGTAGTAAGGTAAGTAATTTAAGGGTTAATGATAAAAATATATTAACAATTGACTAATTAAATCTTACTTGGTGTTCGCCTTTTCCTAGTTTGCATAGCCATAAAATCTGTAAATTCACCAAGCCTACCATTATATAAATCCAATTGAATATCGGCCTCTTCACGTTCTTTCTTTTTCCCAAGCATCATATCCATGCAAGCAAGTAACCCACTTCGCACTTCATCACTATCTGTGAAATTTTCCTCATACCGAAATTGTGGGTTTAAGTAATAGCTCGTCGCATGTAGTGGTTGATAAAGTTGATCGTCCAATCTACGATCTTTCTCCAAATAGGCATATTTTTCTCCACTTTGTTAAGATTGTTTGCAATTTTCGTTTTTGTGGCATCCATCAACTTATATATAAAACTCGTTGGGGGGGGTCTCTACTCCGAATCAACCTCTCTCAAGGCACAAACAAGAGGATGAACACCATTAATGCAAAAGGAAACTTTACCTCAAACTCACGATCATGTAGCACATGATGCTTAGCTAACTTTGCTTCATCGGATTTTGCATAGGTACTTTTCCGACCATTCTTGAAAGGCAAACAAAGCAACAAGATTTTCCTTTTGTTTTTGTAAGCTTTGAAGTGTGAGGAAAGAAGTGGCAAATCTAGTGACCGCCGAACGAAAAATTTCCAAATTGTTGGTGTACTTTCTCATCAAAGCTAGTACACATTGATGTCCATATAGATACTTTGAAATATACCTAGCATGTTTGAGTCATCAAATCAATGTAATAAGCTGCACATGGAGTCCACCACACCTTATCTTTCTTCCCTATAAGTTATGCCCCGGCATTGTTGTAGTTCAAAGCATTGTCGGCTATAACTTGAACCATATTCTCCTCCCAAATTTCTTGAATAACATCATCCAAATAGCCATATAATAAATCTCTATTCTTAATAGAGGCTGACACATCAACCGATTTCAAAAACCAAGTACATTATGAGCTATTGACAAGAAATTTGATTAAACACCTACTTTTTCCATCCGAACATCCATTCAACATAATAGTGCATCCATCTTTTTCAAGCATTTACATGTTCTTTCATCATGCTTTCTACATCCTCAACTTCTTCTTTAAGTATCTAAGTCCTATATTCATAGCTTATAGGAGCATCAAAGCTGAGACTAAAATTGGATACCGCTTTCATTGCTTTAATATTCATTGTTTACCGCATTAAAAGAAATGACACTAGTGTAGAACCATCGTGCAAGTGCTCGGGATGTTTGTTTGCTTTCCTCTTTTTTGAAAGGTGTATTCAATGTGGTTTGACGAGCTTCCGATATAACATACCTATCAATTGATCCCCTTGACCTAGGTGGGAGAAAAGAACCGATTTGTTGTGAATGTGTGGCACTTACACTCACACTCTCACTCCCACCACTTTCACTTTTTTCTCCACCATCACGACACAACTCATGGCTATCTTTATTCTTTTCTTTAGTTTCGATAACATTAGCAAAGCATTGTTCCTTCACATTGGGAGAAACTTTTTTACAACTAATCATTCATCCCGAACTTACATCACCCAAGTGATGTTTGAATCTAGAAATTGAACCCGTGCATTTGTGATTACAAAAAACACAATAGAAGTGCTAGGTGATAGGATCCAAATCTTTTGCCCATGACAAGCAAAATCTTTCTTAAAAGAAGCCATATTCTTCAATGCCTAAACAATAAACATTCGATGCATATAATTAATCCATTTTTTGAACAAACAATAAGCATTCCAATGCATATTCTTCAATGCCTAAATAATATATAAACAAAACTATATAATTAGGCCATATGAACATACTATGTAAACTATATAATTAGGCATTTATATGTCTTGACTTCACACTTGCATAGGGACCGTGAAAGTATATGACTTGACTTCTTATAATTATATGAACATACTATACAAAGTTACATACAATAATTAGGCTTGTTTTGTAAGCAGTTTTATACAACAATTTTGTAAGACTTATATATAAAACCTATATACTATGCACAAACTATATATAGAAATTTAAAAGAAAAATAAAAAAATAAAATCGCAAACTTTTTCAGAAACCTTAACCTTTAAATTTAGGGATTTGTGCGCTTGCTTACGGTGATGTTGCTGGGTGACAGCAACGTTGCTCTGAAGAATGAAGAAGGCAGAGGACGCAATCAAAGGAAGAAGAGAGATGAGGTACGGTCCGTATGGATATGGAATTAAAAATCTCTACCTAAACGGCGTCGTTTTGGGTTTAGGAGGGTTTTTTTTTTTTAACCAAACAAGACGCTTGGACGCCTGGACGCCTGGACGCCTGAAGGCGTGCCTCTGCCGCTTTGACGTTTCTGGCAAAGCCTTCCGCCCACTCCCTCAAAATAGAGGAGAGAACACTGACGCCCAGGCGGCCTAGGGGCGCCCTGAGGCGAGCCTTTTAAAACATATGTTCTTAATATAAAATTTGCTAATAGCTTTGTAGTATATTAAAACACATGTTCTTAATATAAAATTCAAATGAAATGTAAATTTGACAAATGGATTCACATTTCCAACCAACCAAACTTTATGTACAATTAATTTATCAGTAACAAGATTTGTACCACAGAGAAAGCATATTACATTTAACCATTTTGTCCAACACAACCAAGTAGGCCAAGGGTGTTGATGGTGCATTTTATCCCATGTATACAATTATGCACATCAATTAGATAATAGCTAACAAAAATCACCCAATTGGTTATATGCATTTCCTATGGCATTTCTAGTATACACATCAAGCAAAATTCACAAAAAAAATCGTATGTTGAATCACAACAAAACGTTTATCTTCAAGATCTTCATCTGCTGGGGTTTTCAAAGCAGTCCCTAGTTCAATTCTATTGAGATAAGCTTGAATCACATCAACTCCATTTGGTTCTACCATGTCTCCATCAGCATTCTTCTTTGATGTGTGCATAATCACAGCCCATGTTTCACGCTTCATGGTCTCCACTTCCAAGTCTATCTGCCTCTTGTGTGCCACTATTGAATTGGTCTGCACTTTGTGCAAGCACATTTGCTTACTCAACCTTTTGCCTTTCCTCTCTCTCAACGACCGCAATCCTAAGTCTCCCATTTTCAATATTAACTAGCTTGGTTTGCAGCTTCTCTTTGCTCCTCATATGATGCTTTAAGTGCTTCAAGCTCTCTAAAAATTTCTTTTTTCTCAGTTATGATACCTGGCACATCAGACCACACAACACTTATCACAAACCCTCGCAATTGCTTCTCTCAAGCCCTTATAAATCAACGTATAAAGTATGATGAACCTCATCAGTTACCATCTCAAATATGTCATCTTACTTTTTTAGCCTTTTATTGAAATCATCTTGCAATTACATGACAAGATTAACTACTAATTCATATGCACTCTATATAAATTTGTAATCTATTAAATCAAAGATATTTCAATCATGCTTCCATATTAATTCATAAGTTATATGAGTGATTGTTCTGTTTTTGGGCCTATGGTGCATACCAATAAATTCGTATACATGAGAACCTATTTCATAACTCTACTGTATTAACTAATGCAAGTTGACGTTGACTTATGATCTCCATTTACACGATATTTCATATCTTAACAGCAACATTTCATCTTAATAACATTTGCAATAACATGTATTTAAATTTAAAATAGTGCAAAACAACTAGGAAAGCCTTACATATTCATGTATGATTTGTACAAATGTCCTGGTTCCATTCGTGTGATTTTTTAGAGCATTTCTATCGTTTTTAGATAGTGTAGCACACTTCTGCATTGTGTCAGACTCATCATTCATTAATTAGATTTTGTTGAAAGTAATATATCTGAATCCTTAATACATATAATCTAGACATTTATAAACATAATTATGCCATAACTGAATTAAGCATATATGGTGGCTAAAGTGACTCTTGAGATAACATTCTTAGGAACCTGAAAAATCTTGCAACAGTATAGGTAGACTCTACTGCTTGTCATTTGTAATTAAATTT